GGGGGGGGGGGGGGGGCGAAAATCCACACTTTTTTAACATCCTTATTTAAAAGGATATATGTAATGGATTTCTATTTAATTAAATAAAACTGGAACGAATTTTTATTCACGATCTATAGACTATATAAATGACGATAATTAGTGGAACACTTATGCCATTAGAAAATAAAAAATAGTCAATTATTTACTTGTTCTTTATTTATTTTTCTTTATTAATTGTATATTAATTTGAGATAATTTTTTTTATTTGACCGTATGATTTTAGTAATTTTCGATCCTGTCTTCATTAAGGGATGTATGTGTATATATATAGATAGTACTTTTAAGATGTATATTCGCTTTTTCTTTAAGGTGGGCACAAGACAAAGACGTTGGACGAAATTTCTGAGCTCTATAAAGAAATTGGTACTAAAATATTTACACAAAGTACTTTAAAAGGTACTAGTAATTTGATGTGGAGTCATGCATATTATGACACGGCTTTATGGGAAGAATTATTACAACAACAACTGGGCGATAAAGATTTAATACATACTGCGCGGGACCCAAATTCTCCGAAGGTCTGTTGAAGTACACATGCAAAATAATCAATCAACGAATGAATTGGAGATACAAATTAAATTTGCAGTATACCATATGTCCCATCATAAGTAGGACCTTCGATGTTTCGACGTTCATGAGCGAGTTCCTTCCTCGTGTTCCTGCCACATTATAGTGATATTGGCGGACGATAAAATGTTTTGACACTTTCAAGATGTATCACCAAAGTAGATTAACCCCAAAATCTAGGGCTATATTATCGAAAATAATCACATCTACCGAAAGACTTATCCTTCCCTCCGGTAAATAGTAAGATTATTTATAAGTTTTAACTTACAACAATAACTTATCAATACTTCGTCGATCTACCTTTTCAGATAATACAATTTCATTTTATTTTACTGTTGCATGTAAAAAGTTAAAGTATGATGTCTCGATGTAATTTCATGTCACGAAGTAAACTGTGTGACGTTATCCTGGGTTTCATAGGTCGAAGGCATAGGTTTGACGCAATAATAATAGAGGGGGTAGGGTTAAGTAAAAAACGGGACAATGGGGGGGGGG